AACAGATATTTCGTGCAGTATTACTCTACAGAGACATATAATCTGTATGGTCTGAGATTTGCATGATGTTATCTGAAAGCGTGCGTTATTAGTATGAACAACACTTCTTAGCTCTAATGGTATTCTTTTATAGATATTTTTTATTTTCCCCTTTTTGCTATGGAATTAATTCAATATTATCAGGAATAACTTGCCTTGGTACAATGCGAAACTATTGTTTTCTTACTAAAAACCTTTTTGATCGATTTCCTATTTTATATTTAGCAAACCTTAACAAAGAGTACTCTTAGTGGCCGTTTTGTGTTGGGTGTCGTTTTAAAAGATATTGGGCTTTCGCTACATCTGTGAAACAACCTAATTCGAGAATCATTATATTCACGTTAGTCTGGAATGTCTCCACGCCAAATGTCACATATTGTTTATAATCAGTTATATCTTTTTTTATTCATTCTTTTTACATTCATTCTTTTTACCATATATTCTGTTATCAATGATACAATTTCAAACACCTATATTATAGTTTCTATGGGTCCGCAAATGCCCAAATGGTCTAAAACGCTCTTCGTTAAGGATCACTGCCATCTCACCTCTGCGTGGGTTTGAGTCTCAGATTTGACCAATATGATCTGTGAGAAAGTATGATAATAGCTTCTCGTGGGTCGGTGGTTCTTTCCGGGGTTACCCGGTTTCTTCTTCCATCATTAATACTGGCCGCCATGTATCGTATGCTGATAAATGGCGTTTAACCCTACAACAACTACAACAATAAGAATTATGAACTTTGTTATCAATAATGCCATGTAAATCAACAATATTTATAGACGATGTTATCAGCAACACCTTTTACAATACTAATAGTGTAGTCTATATTATTAATACTACCTTCTGCAACACATCAACATTATATGCGGTATTATGGGGGTTGTTATAGTGGCACGTAGACGTCTATGTTAAGAAAGTGTCCCTGCACAATAGCGACAAATTTATAGCAATCATGGAAATTAGAATTACAGACTGACAATGGGAATTTAACATGGCGAATTTTAAGGGGTGAGCCTGTCTAACGATAAGAGAAATGGAACAGGGTTGACGTCATAGTACTGCACACTGGAAACAATGTTGCAAGTAGCAAAACTCAATCGGGCGGAACACAGGCAAGAATGTGGCATGGTGCTGACCTGAATACGCGTTACTCTAGACATGGATATAGAAACGTGTATAGTTGTTGTTGTTGTTGTTGTTGTTGTTGTTGTTGTGGGGTTTAACGCCATTTTTCAGCACAGGAAAGGCTATGCATGGCGGCCAGTATTAATGGTGGAGGAAGAAACCGGAAAATCACCGGAAAGAACCACCGACCCGCGAAAAGCTACTGGCAAGCTTTCTCACATATCCACATTCGCCGAATCTTAGACTCGAACCCACGCAGATAGAGGTGAGATGGCAGTGATCCGTAACGGACAGCGCTTTAGACCACCCGGCCACTCGGGACCCTGAAACGTGTATAGAGATATACACATATAAACATTTATTGATGAACATAAATCTATCAAAACAAATATCGACTAAAATTATTTTAAGCAAGATAGAAAATCTTCTTGAGGCAATGAAATGGCTATAAAGGGTCTTTGGGTTTCTTCTTTTTTTACTGTCTCTATTCTCTTTTTCCACTGTTCCTTATTTTCTTCACTAAATTTGTCTTTGGTCCCTTTCCTCCTTTTCTTCATCCTACCTCTCCTCCTTCATTTTCTTCTTCATCTCATTCTCCTATTCTGTTTCTATCTACTCGTTCCATCTTCTCATTTCTACTTTTTATTCCTTCTTCTCCTCTCTTTCATGTTTCATAAGATGCTTTAATATTTCGTTTCCTTTCTTCAAATTATTGATCTCCATGCTCAGTATGTGTGAGCTTTAAGCCGCATACTGAATCCTAACATAATTTCATCCGCCATGCCTACTGTATTCACTACCACTTTCACTTTTATTATCTTCTTTTGTTGCTGGCAATTGGTTTTTCAATGTTCAATGGTGCGATTGACGAAAGCGCTAGTTTGTCTCAAACAAAGAGGTAAAGGAAAACATCCCCTCTTACCACTACCCACTCCATGTACCAAATAATACATAGTAATGAGTTTTTAAAAAATAATTTATTCAAGAAACACTTATGCTAACAAAACCACTATACCTTCTAAAGAAACATATTAGCAAAAGAAAGTTTTTATATATGTCACACAATTACCTACAATCAAATCAGCAAATGAGCTGATGTTTATAGTCACACTACTCCACATTCAGAAATATTTACTTTAGAGTCAAGGGTTTGTTGACAAAAACGTACGAGCGCACACATACACAAATAAGTACTCAAACGTATGTGCACTCAAACAAACACAAACAAAAATACACGCACACGCAAGTACGCACAGGTACAAACATAAAACTACATTTTTTAGAATTTTATCAGTCTCTCTTTTATAGAGATTTGGTTAGCCCTGAAAAAGGCTGATTGTTTTGAACTATAAATGACCTGCTTAGTGGGTAGGAGCACAGAGAGGAGTTGAGTGTTCTCATCATCCCAGTTTTCACACTCGGGGATAGAGAAGACATCTGTCTTCTATTTTGCAGACTGGGATGATGATGTCTTCTTATCAGCCGTGGACGATGTATTTCTACTCTTTCTTTCTATTTTGCAATCTTAGGCACGGCGATGTTTGCTACTGTTAATGAATGTGGCAGACGTTGGTGTGGCTTTGGGGCTGATTGTGACTTTGGAGGTGTCCTCTCCTCAGGTGTGACCGTACACACTTCTTTTCCTTTTCATCTTTCAACTTTGTTTCCGTTTCCTCCTCTATTCCCGCAGCACTCTTTGTAATGTCATCCATGGCTAGCTATTCCAGGAAGCGCCAGACATATTCCAGCTGCATCTGGAGTTCAAACAGTTTGGTTTGTCTACTCATGTTGTCTCCTTGACGATGGGTATCCATACCTGCAAACGTTTGTTTTGTATGTTCCTTGCACGGACGTGAAGGGAAACATCTTCTTACTCACAAAACAACAATACCCACTTCATCATCATTAACATAAAACATGCAACCATAAATAAAACACACACGTTCACTTTTTGCACATGCAGCACACTTTCTATTAATTATAAATATAAAAGTACAAAGACTATATTGCAAGTCAGGAAAACGAAGTGTTTATAGGCACAATTCTCCTTTTTCACTTACAGAGAAACTCAAATGGAAATAGAACTATTTTGGCAATTTTACTACTATACCTTTCGCAGGTTGTTTGGAGAGTACTGAAAAGGGCTAGTTTTGTTAGAGTGGTTATGGTAATCTCTTATCATCTAAGATTGTGTCCACGTCTGGCGGCACGCTTTCCCACAGGACAGGGTCTGTTTTTGCGGAAGGAGGAGAATTATTATTTCGTGTCTACACGTCAGTCAACAAAACCTCTGTCTGGCTCACGCTATTGTTGGTTTTTATGGTGCTATTGTATCTGTTGTTTCTGAAGTCTGTATATCTCAGTCCAAGTCTTGCTTTCTTGATTTTCGTCTTTAAACAGATATTCTTTCAAGTCATGGACTTCTTTTAGCATCCTGTCAATTTCAGTCTCAACCGGATTATGTGTCCTGGTTTGCCTGACAGGATGTAAACTCTTGTTCGCCTATTTCAGTTTAGCTTGTCTTGAACCCATCTTCATAGGGTGACCAGTCAACAATGGATGGTCAGGTTGGAGACCGCATCGCTTTATATGGCTCAAACGAGGACTCGATACCGCCTCTTTGTGCCGGGACTCTATCTGTAATGCTAATACTTATAGGCTTGGAATGATGTATAGCTGATCTCATAGTGAGGATATAGAGCAAAGACAAAGAGCATGGATAGTAGACATAAAAATATTATTGAAACAATCTACCAACATTTTTTCAAAAGATAACATTTCTTATACAACTAACAAACTAAAAACACAGCATATAACAACAATTCATCAAAGGAATATACATTGCCAAGGTTGACAACGTTGTAAAGTCGAGTTAGACTTCAACAGATTTTAGTCATGTGGCCATTAATGTACGCTATTGTCTTCATCTATCTTGTCGAACTGGCCCGCTTTGTCAGGTTTCCATACCATACGGACATCCAGATTTATGTTCTTCTTTACCATTTGTCAAGCGATTTTCCAGATGACGCTCGGTAAGGCAATTATGCGTGCTTCTACTGACCAATTTGTTATTCAAATACTAGTATGCTTTGATGGACAAGGAATGCATAAAATTGTTAGTTGGGGATCCTTTATCGTCGCCATCTATACTGATATTGTTCGCATTAGCTACTTTGACTTAAAGTACTAGTAACATATATTCAGATCGATGTAATCTTCGGGATGTTCTTTAATTTAAATTCAGGGTGAGTTGAATCAGGCAAAGAGGAGACGAGATAAAATTCTACCCATTGATATTCGTACATTGTCATCATAGCAGGTGGCATGGAAAATACATCCACTTCCGACTTGGAACATGCGCTGTACTCTTCAGTGCGTAATTTGTATTTTCTGTGAAATAAAATTTATTTCTATCTCTGGGAGTTTGATGTTCTATGGAGGGTGTCTTTGTCGTTCTTTGTTTATGCCTTGTCCTTGCTATGGCGTCAGAGGAAACATAAAGTCCTTACTCTGCAGCATCAAGGGCATTTATTGGAGTTTCTTGTCCGCACAAAATGGCCTTTCCAGTTTGAAACAATACATTTTTGCCTGCTGCCAGAAAAGCTTTTGGGGGGTTTTGTTTTCGTAAATGATTACATATTGGAGAAATTCTTTTTTGTCTTGCGGAAAACAGCATATTTCATGGCGTACAATATTGGCTTTGTAAAGTTTTGACACCGTCATGAGAAATCAATTGATGGTGCATATAGCTTATTTAATAGTATCTCTCACTTTATACCATCTCTTAATATGTTTAAACCTTTAGTTGATAGTGATAACCAGTAGTTTTCATAATTATTGTGGCCTAGTGGTTAGAGCGTCCGCCTCAGAAGCGGGAGGTCATGGGTTCCTTCCCCGCCCAAGTCATACCAAATACTTACAAAACTGGTACTAACAGCTGCCTCGCTTGACCCTCAGCATTAAGAGGTTAGTGTTAGGACTGGTCGGCCTGGTGTCAGGATAATGTGACATGGTGGGACATCATGCTACATGTCTGCGGCATAATGCCTCAGTGCTAGACATTACTGTAAACTGTGGCACTGCTGACATCGTGGCGATACGAATAAAAATGTATAAAACTATGTTAAAAATCCAAATCACGCGCGCGCACACACACACACATACAAACACACTAATCCTAATTATGATATTCGATATTCATGTATTACCTTATATGGTTTTCTTTTTTCTTCTGTCTCACTTTGGTTTTGTTTTTTAGAGGATTTTCAAGTTGTTCTGAACTCTTTTTTCTTCGCATCCTTCACATTTTAAATGTATGTTTGTATCCGTTTTATTTCCTCAATAATAGCTTAAAATACTTTTGATTTCTCAAGATATTAAAATAGTAGTGTAAGCCACATAGCAAAAAACATTGGATCCAGTTTACATTTATGTTCATGTAAATTGTACATATCCTTGAGGAACAACCGAAAAAAATCAATAACAAAGCAATGTTAACAAAAAGTCTAACAAGGTATTTACACCCCCCCAAAAAAAACGACCTACATAGAGATGGACTCGCAAAGAGTTTGACAAATATGTATGTATGTATGTATGTATGTATGTATGTATGTATGTATGTATGTATGTATGTATGTATGTATGTATGTATGTATGTATGTATGTATGTATGTATGTATGTATGTATGTATGTATGTATGTATGTATGTATGTATGTATGTATGTATGTATGTATGTATGTATGTATGTATGTATGTATGTATGTATGTATGTATGTATGTATGTATGTATGTATGTATGTATGTATGTATGTACGTATGAATGTATGTATGTATGTATGTATGTATGTATGTATGTATGTATGTATGTATGTATGTATGTATGTATGTATGTATGTATGTATGTATGTATGTATGTATGTATGTATGTATGTATGTATGTATGTATGTATGTATGTATGTATGTATGTATGTATGTATGTATGTATGTATGCATGCATGCATGCATGCATGCATGCATATATATATATATATATATATATATATATATATATATATATATATATATATATATATATATATATATATATATATATATATATATATATATATATATATATAAACACACACACACGCACGCGCGCACACGCACACGCACACCACCATGACGGCCTATTTTATGCCTTCGGGTAAACATGTGCAACCATGCGTCATTTCTATGCACATTGGATCCAACGTGGTCGAAAATCCAATTTATATCAAGAAAGAACGATGGTCCTTCACATAAGGGAAGTGATATTTATAAAAAGTACCAAACTATCCCACATATCCGTTCTAACATGCACACGAAAATGTGATTTCTAAATGGCAACATGAAGATCTACCCCCTGACCTGTTAAGTTTATCTTTTAGAATCGTGCAAATAAATACATTCTTTGAATGATAGGTGTTTAACTTAGAACAGTACTGCACCTTATGTTTCTATTTATGCAGTAATTTGTCGAACACTTACATTGTCTGCTATCCAGAACTCTCTAATGGATTCTATAGAAATTTCCCGGCATATAATTTGTTTCAAAATTGTTTAGTATATTCCCAATAAACAAGACATTGTCAACACTTTACATCTTATTGACTGTTGCTTCTCTTCAGCATAATACGTGTAGATTATTTGTTCAAAATATAGAACTTCAATGCTTTACACAAGATCGGTATAACTTGCTTAATATATCTTGTCATTTAGTGGTATTATTACGTTGAATTCTGTAAAACCAGAAATCAACATCAACTAGTTCAAAGCCATGCGCATTGTAGGCTGACATATCGCGAATCATGAAAATACAAGGGTGGTATCCCGTTATATCCAATATTACTTTCAACACAATATTCTGGTGACAATTGCCGCTTTTGAGATGGTAATCATTGCAGTATTTTTTCCATCGAATTACAACATCTGATAACGATTACGAAATTTGAAAAGCCCCTGCATTGTTGAAGCTTCATCATGTCCTTCCTCGTTGTTTGTCTTTCATTTTTGCAATTGTCTTTTCAATCAAGCATTTCTCTATTATTCTTTTGCATGTTCTATTTGTAAAGTTGGTGCTCATTTTATGTTTGTACTCCTCCATTTCTGTTGAAATGATTTTATTGATCTTCTTGTCATCTATAAATCCCAATAAGTGTTAGAGCTTTCTTTAATATTTTTTATTATTTAATGCAAGCTTTTCTTTAAAGTTTTAAAACTGATTATGGAAATAAAGAAATTTTAAAAAAAGAATTTGAAACTACTGAGTAAGAAATTGATTGGTCGATAGTGTGAAATTAAACTGGCAATCTAAATACGTTCCAATATTGAATATGCTGATATGCCTTTAATGTTGATATTGTTAGTGCACAAGTAGCTTAGATTGTGACGATGTGCTAAGATTATTTTGATATATAATAGACAATATAATCCCATAAATGTTGACAGTTGATACATCAGATAGCACAATATTACTAAATAGGTAATATTTCAATTTCACACAGTACAATCTATTGATAAATTATCACCATGGTTACACTTTCCACAGGAAGGAAACTTCTATATCCAGTGCCTATTTCGTGTTTTTATCTCAAAACAGCAACAAATAAATGCAAGGAACACTAGAATGAAGTCTGCGTATTTCTTGGAAGAAAGAGAGAGAGAGAGAGAGAGAGAGAGAGAGAGAGAGAGAGAGAGAGAGAGAGAGAGAGAGAGAGAGAGAGAGAGAGAGAGAGAGAGATAGATCACATTTGTTCTGTCTTCATAACACTATCATAAAAATTAGGTTTTACAATAAAATTTCTCACTGAGAGTACATTTTTGCTGTTCATTGAATTAATATAGTTGCATCTTCTTTTGAGATGCGATCGTTTTATAATTAACTAAATCTAGACAGTTGTTTTTCTGGCTGGTCAGCTTTGTCAAAGTCCAAAATGTAATAATCAAGGAAAGTAATGCTTTTAACTGACCTAAAACGTTTTCTAAATAATGTTCGATCCTATCCAGCCTTGGTCTATGGAAACTGTTGCTCTCTAATTTGTATTCGTCTCAATAGATCATTTGCAGACAAATCCATAATATACATTTGAATAGCGCCTTTCATTACCGAAACAAGTTATGACACCAGACCTTTTAAACGGGAAACAACCTTTTCACTTCCCAAAGAGCAAGTATCGTATTTCCCTACAAGGCCTATGTTTGGTATTCAAATCTTAAAGTGTACTCGATTCTCGAGTTTAAAAGGATACACTTAACACTATGCATTCTTCCTGAACTTGTTGGATGAATTTGATTGATACATTTTTGTCACGTCGCTAATTGCTTAGCACGCAATTAGGAATGGTCATCATAAATGTGCCTGGCATAAAAAGTGAATATTCTTATTATGAATCATACTGAGTACTACAAGCTATCGGAAATTGAATGACATGTAGCAGACTCTATTTGCAAATCTTAGACGGTCTAAAATGTTAACGAAGACATAAAACTAAATATTGACTTAAAAGTTTGCATTAAAGACGGACTTCAGTTTCACATATGAAACAAGAACAATATTCTTCTAACGATAACGTACGTACTATAAAATATGTATCGACGTACCAATCGGGGCTCTTCTAAATGGTATTTCGTTTCAATACACGGTAAACAAAGGTTATTGGAATGAAAATATATCCACTTTTAAATTAGGTACTTTCATTAGATATAATGACTAGACGCATTTCACAAAACGTGTTGAGCTGCATGGTATATATATATATATATATATATATATATATATATATATATATATATATATATATATATATATATATATATATATATATATAAACTGACAATATTTATATTTCTTAATTTGTGTCTTGTTACAGTTTTGACAGCTTTTAAATATATAAGCCAATGAATAACAGTCGCTCTCTGCGCATAAATTACATCTCAATTAATCTGCATGTATGATTACTCTTTGCACATGTAACAAGAGATATGATTTTAATAAAAAGGTTTTAATGTAATTTATTCAAAACTAATTTAAATTAGCGGCAAGACAAAAGGGCCCGGGATTGAAATCTGCAAAACAAAAAAGTCACCAAATATGAATCGCGTCTTATATTCATCTATTGTATTTGTTTTTTGGCAGGTTATTTTCGAGGACGGTTTATGAGTATTTTGCGGAAGGTTTACGCTCAAAATAGGCCACTTGTCGAGGACTTTCCAGATAAGCTTACTTTTGATATTGGCTTATTTTAATCAAATATGTAAGTAGCTAATAATACAAATCGGTGTTGTTTAATTAACATAATTTATGCAAATAAAACAAGAATATAAAAGAGCTTTCCTGTATGATCCATTATGACACAGTTGTCATTGATGAACAATATATAAGTTCCGACTTGATTTATTCAGGATTTTACAGTTAGACATTTAAACATCGGTCACGTTTCTAATTCTACTGGGACGAAACATGTGTCTGCTTTAATATATTTTGTTATATTTATGCAAGTCATGCATTCAATATACTTTTTACGGCAATTTAAAGAATGGTCTACGTTTGAGACCAAATCTTGATAGAAAACAGACTCATCATTTTTTTCTCATCAGATTATATTTGATATCGCCTTAAGTTCTCATGTTCAGTATATATGTAAAATCAGTTAATATAGAGTTCATATGAACACATACATACACACACACACACTTCAAACCTTAAAACTGAAAGCTGATCTCAAAGATAACTAAATATATAATAGAACGGACGAAATTTTGTCTATAGACTCTAAAATGAATTAAAAAAATGTTAAACAAATGCACAGTCTTGGTTATCACTTAGGCGATGCTCCTCAGATAGTATGTTCTTTTGAGAGAATGGCAGGAGTAAGGTGAAGTTCTTTTCATTT